AGAGATTGAATTTTTTAAAATTTAATATCAGAAGACCAGTCCTGTGGTGGGTAGCAGATTTGACTGCCAGTACAGTTATATGGGAGCCACTGACCAGATGATCTCTTATCAAAAGCAGAGATGGCTAACCAGTGGCTCTCTAGATGTTGGTGTCCTGCAGCTCCCATATAACTGAAGGTTATTCTACTCACTGAAATTAATAGATGTGACTAACTGAGATCTATTATTTTCAGTGGGTCTGCTCTGAGTATAACTTAGTTGGATACAGAGTCCTTAAAATAACATAATAATTCTGAATAAAATTATTATCATTTCCTCAAAGACAGAAGCCTTGTCTTGGAAAGAGGTAACAAATATGGACCTTCATGATCAGGATTAAGAACAAGCTTCAGTGGTGAGCAAGGGCCAAAGGCTGAGCTGAACTGAATGTAACTCTAAACCTCCACAGCTGTTTTCATTTTCCTCCCTTCAACACAGCCCCTGTGTGGCACTTCAGGGAGAATTATGAAAGTGGTGTGTAATTCAGAGAAGAAATCTCCTCCTCAACTCCCCACCCCTCGCCCCCCGTGATGCCTTTTCCTGAAGCGGTGAAAACTGCTGTAGTAGATAATTTTCTGTTCAAGGGAAATATCAGGTTCTATTAAATATGTATTTGTTATGTAGCCTTCAGTTATTTCTAACTCCTTACTTTACAGGCTTGTTCCGCTTCCATCCTCTTGTAGATCTTCCATCCATTAACCTATTGTGCCTCATCATTCATGATCAAACTGGTGTTGACTTCCAAGGAGGTAGCGCAGTTTATAGCAGCTAAAGATCTTTTGTTCCCTGGAAAGCAGTGCTGTGTTCTTGGGTCTATGTCAGGGCCAGTGTTTCATAAATATCTCACAGGTATTGAAATGAACAGACTCCATAACATTCACAGATCAAATCTTAGGTGGCCTCCAGAAGCTTTAATTCGTTCGGAATGGTTTTCATTGGACTCTCCTTCACTGGGATGAGGACATGAGACAATGATTGGGTGAAGGGACGTTTGCTATTAATCCAAAACAATAACAAAGCATGGACCTAACCCTGAATCAATCCCCCTGTGAAGGAAAGGATACATTGAGCCATCGTAACCAGCACATCCATTTGCATGAGAACACCTTCATTTCACATTGGCTTGAAGAATTTATTTATTTTTTCTTTTTTGCCAATGTGGCTTCAGTGCTTTGGCTCTTCTTCTTGAAAATTTAGTAATAGGGCCAGCTGCTGAATTGAGGCACAAAATAACATTTGTACTTTGGATGGAGTTGAAGTTTATTTTAGAAGGAGCTGCAAAATGAGACCAATGTTCAGTTAAGAACATACAGTAAACTGGCATGGAAATTTGACAAGTTCTCGCCCTCTTTTGTAACACTAGAACTCATGGACTTCCAGTGACGCTGGATGTTGGAAGATTGAGGACAGACAAAAGAAGATACTTCCCCATAGTTGAAACATGGAGCTGTGATGGCCAACAACCTGGATGGCTTTAAAAGAGGATTGGACCAATTCATAGAGATTAAGGCTATCCATGACTACTAGCCATAAAGCTCTGCCTCTACGGCTGGAGGCAGTATGTTTCTGAACACCAGTTGCTAGAAAACATAGGAGGGAAGAGCACTCTATTTCTTGTGTCTGCTAATGGGTTTGCCAACCGGTGTCTGGTTGGCCACTGTCAAAACAGGATGCTGATCCAGCAAGCTTTTATGTTTTCTTGTGTTCTTAATGATGAAGCTGAAGCCTGTTAAATTCTATAAAGGTAAAGGGACCCCTGACCATTAGGTCCAGTCGTGGCTGACTCCGGGGTTGCGGCGCTCATCTCGCTTTATTGGCCAAGGGAGCCGGTGTACAGCTTCCGGGTCATGTGGCCAGCATGACTAAACCACTTCTGGCAAACCAGAGCAGCGCAGGGAAACGCCGTTTACCTTCCCGCCAGAATGGTACCTATTTATCTACTTGCACTTTGACATGCTTTCTAACTGCTAGATTGGCAGGAGCAGGGACCGAGCAACGGGAGCTCACCCCGTCGCGGGGATTCGAACTGCCAACCTTCTGATTGGCAAGTCCTAGGCTCTGTGGTTTAACCCACAGGGCCACCCGCATCCCGTCAAATTCTATAAACAAGGATTAATATAAAATCCACTAATACACACACACACACACACACACACACACACAGCACTTTATTATGGTCCATAGACCCCAAATACCCAGTACAACAATAGTATATATCAATACTATCAAGGTGTGAGATTGACCTTTTGCTAGCCAACAGAGGAGCTTTAGCCTGTACATACTGAATTCTGATTTTTACTGCCCTGCCTCTTAATTGGGTGCCATGGATAATTTTTCATTGAACTACCAGGTCAGAACTTTTGCTCTTCGTTCCAAGGACAGTGATGGAGGCACGTAGCTCTTGCCTGCCAAAGATTCAGCCAACATACTCTACCAGACAGCCAAATTCTATGGAACATACATTGGGCTGGATTAGCTGCACTGATCTAATGAGATTGCGCCAGCAGGAAACTGAGGCTGTGTGCACACCATACTTTTAAAGCACATTCAAAGCATGCACACCTCCAAAGAATAATTGGAGATGTAATTTGTTAAGGGTACTATGAATTGTAGCTCTGTGGGGGAAACTATAATTCCCAAAATTCTTTTTTGGGGAAGATGTGCTGGTATGGTGCATAGGCAGTCTTAGTCTTTCCCAATAGATGTCTACCACAGAGGTAGATTGGGCAGCTGTCCTCAATTCACCTATGTTGGAGTGGTTCCATTAACTGCAGTGGAACTGCTCCGCAGTAATTGGCGTGAGGATGTGAAAGTAATTAAAAACATCCAAGCCAGACCATAACTCCATAGGATTCTACTTTCTATGTTTTAAGAGTTCTTGCATTCTTATTACAAAAGTGTTCCTTTTTGAAGGCTATTTTTAGAATGAGCAAAAATATTTTCATATGGCTCATTGACATAAGACGATGTCTATGTCAAAGAGTCAGATGAAACTCACATCATGCCGAAGATGTTGATTTTGTTTAATAATTTGTCAAGATTGCTACCTAGGAGGTCTCCAGTGGTAACTCTGTGGTATGGATCATGTGGGAGTCAAAAGCCTGTTCAGCCAATGACGTCATGTTTGTGGAACACAGCCGTAAATGTATTTCTTCTGCTGTGGTAACCTACATAAAAAATAAAATAAAATACCACAGCTATGCTTGTGAAACTGAGGCCTTCAGTTATGCACCAGAGAAAGCTAGAGTTACCACATTTTGTTTTTTAAAAATACTTGTCACAAGGAGCAAGCCATTCAAAATAAATACTTTTCCTGGACCTGAAAAATGACAGGCTGGTCAATTGCCAGCTAGGTGCTAATCCTAAAAAAAGCAGTTTCTTAGGCTAAAGGTCAGTAAATCCATTATCACATATTTTCAGCATAGCACTGGTGCCCATTGAGGTGTGTGAGAATTGGGACTTATAAACCCATATTGCATTAGAGAGGTTACTAAAGGTTACTTGCATTTGCAGTCATCAGTACATATCATGAAAAATACAAAGTGAGGAGGAGGGAGGCAATTTTTCATATGGTTTGAACTTTCCTGGAATTATACCCCACTGAACAGAGTAGGACCTAATTCTAAGTAAACATACATGAGATTGCAGTGTACTGCACAGGTTTAATTCTGAAGAGTTAAAGTCAACAGTGGTGGGTCTGGGGGTTCACTATAGAATGAAAATTGGGTTATACATTAGGAAGTTATTGGAAACACTAGGTGGAATTCAGCACCTCCCTTCCACTGAAGGTTTTGAGAACTCTCCTGTCCAACCCCCTGCTCCCTAAAATCTGGTCCAGGCCCCCCCCCCCCCCCGATTATAAAGGGATGCAGGGACAAGGAGGAATGCCCCAAAATTGTCCACCTTCCCCATTTCATTGACAGACACCTTCCATCAATGGAGGACCAACCATTTACTTTGAAGAAGTCATAGTCTAATTTGGTCCAGTCTTGGAAAGTGATGTGAGAGACTGGCTTTGAGGGACCACTGCAGGACCTTCAGGTTCTTAGCAATGATGATGATATCATAAGCAGAACCCCGCTGGATCAGGCCAATGACTCATCTAGTCCAGCATCCTGTTCTCACAGTGGCCAACCAAATGCCTATGGAAAGCCCCAAAGTGGGACCTGGGTGCAACAGCACTCTCCCCACTTGTGATTCCCTAACAACTGGCATTCAGAGACATACTGCTACCAGCAGTGTAGGCAGAACAGAGTGATTGTGTCTAGTAGCCACCAATATCCTTGTTCTCCAATAATTTATCTAATATTTTTAAAGCAAAGTTGGTGTCAAACATTTACTGCTTGTGGGAGTGAATTCCATAATAGTAATATTTTATTATCTGTTTTTACTTAATTGAAATCTAATAGAATTTTAATGGATTTTGAAAAAAATAGCTAGACAGTTGTCTACAGGTAGGCTACAAACAATCTCAAATGGATTAAAAGCAAGTTCAAATATTTGCATCCAGGGCAAAAGCAAATTAATATTCTCGTTAAAGATGTGATGCTTTACTTTACTAGTATATCATTCCTTGCTCCTTTTTTATTATTATTATTAAAGCAAACCAACGCTATAAACTCAAGGATCGGTTTACCTTTTGATGATGTGCTTTTTATCTAGCAATCACACAAGAGCCATGCAATTTTAATGCTGCATTAAGCTGGGTAATGAACTAACTTTATTGTGTTTTGTGATTGGGCCTTAATGGAACATTTTTCAAAACTGAAGGCTGCATGGAAGTTTTTATCTCCTGCTTGTGAAAGGTGCCTAGTGAGAAGCTCAAGGTCTCCAGATAATGAAGAGGAAGTATCTACTTCTGCCGTCATCTATTTTGGGAAATACTCTGTGGCAATGGTCACAAAAAGAGATCAAGAGGTGACATGCAGTAATAATGAGAAGCTGTCAAGCAGCCTATTTACCTAGGGCAAGTGATGCTGCAGAGTGGAGATGCTGTTTCAGCTCGGAGAATGGAGATCATAAACATAATTGCTCTTCAGTTTTCAACTGCAATTAGATGGTAACAAATATCATGCTTGTAATTTACATATTTTTTGAATCAGTTAGACTTGCAAGAGGGTTGCATCAGCGCAGAAGTTGAAAGATCAGGCCAGTAGCCTTTTCTCTTGTGGCAGCACTGACTAGAATATTAAGGTTGTGATCCTGCACACAGTCCTTAAATCTCAACGACTTCAGCAGTATTTAAGAAGCTTAATTGTGCACGGCTCCATAGCCTGTTTAATGTGTGAACTGGAAAAATATTCTCCAATTAATAATAGGCCTGTTTCTCATTATCTTCCCCTACCCCTATACAAAGAACCCAATCAATCTGGAGAGAGCACAATGTGACACAGAAACAGATAGGTATTTTAGGAAAACATACAGTTGCAGATACAAAATGAATCTTTGGGCCCATGCACACCCCATAAAAATATACTTTCCTTTACTGATAATTATACTGGTATCAGTAATTTTTATGGGCTAGATGGCCCCAACATTCTATGTACAACAGATACCAAGAAGCATAGGAATATATTGATTAAATTAAGATCACCCGTTAAAACCCTTGGGCAAATTTTCTTTCTGCGTGCTGCTATCTAAGCTTTTGTAGCTTCAGCTGCCAGCAGTTCAGTTGGAGAATTGCTGAATGGAAAGCATGCACTCAAACACTGAGGCAGATGCTATCATTTATTTATTTATTTATATGGTTCTTTGACTTATGGGTCTTTGACTCCAGAGTAGCTTGCAACAACAAAATCCAAACAATCCAAGTGGAAACATGCTGGTCCTCGATCCTGTACCATAGATCCTGTGAGCTCCTACCTTGCCTTGGACACAACAGGTATTAGGCAATAAGGTACAGTAGTACCTCGGGTTAAGTACTTAATTCGTTCTGGAGGTCCATACTTAACCTGAACCTGTTCTTAACCTGAAGCACCACTTTAGCTAATGGGGCCTTCTGGTGCTGCCGCACCGCCGGAGCACGATTTCTGTTCTCATCCTGAAGCAAAGTTCTTAACCTATTTCTGGGTTAGTGGAGTCTGTAACCTGAAGCATATGTAACCTGAAGTGTATGTAACCCGAGGTACCACTGTACTTGCATAAGTCAGGCCAGTTTTGAATCAGTTTCTTTAAAAAAAGATTAAAACCAAACTCAAAATAATAATATAAAAAACAGCGGCAAAAGACAACCAACAGCATCATGGTTCATGACTCAAGTGATGAGAAGTGTCCATCTGTTTTATTCTTTATGTTTGGAGATAGAGCAAAGGTTCAGATATGGAGCCCCTTTCTATCTGGAAGCAGCTGAAACTGTATACAAAAACCACCCCAAGTAATTCCCAACCTCACTAACCCTAATAATCTACTTAAACTTCTTTTAAACTGTTTTAAAGCAAACACAGTCACCCTTTGCTGACAATTCACATACCTACTTTTTCATGCAGTGTTATTATATACATGACTGGGGTTTAGAAACCTCTGAAGGCTGAGGTTTATAACAGAAATGCTGACAGATCCTTACCGCTCTATCCCATCATAACATTTCAAAGAGGATGGGGGGGGGAGGGAGGGGGGTTGTGGTGGTTGTGGACATAACTGGCCATGTTCTTGCGTTAAAAAATGTTCCCCTTTATTGACTTAACTGATGTAGCCAGACAGATGGTTTTCCTGTGAATTTATCTTGAGCGTCAAATCAAGATGGCATAACTGAGACAAGAGAAAATATATTAGGCATCTGATCTGGATTGCTTCCATAATTGGTCCCAATCCACCTTGGATGCCTAATATATTTTCTCTTGTCTCAGACAAAGTATGTGGTTCAAGATTGCCAAGTGAGGAAGAAAGAATGGATGCTCCCTTTTTCCACTTTGCCATTTGGGTTGGGACAAGGCTGGGTTGGATTAGGGTAGAGATTGATTTTTTTGGTTTTATGTCTTATTTTTTATTTAAATTGTCATCTACTTATTGTAAGATGACCCAAGAGGTTTATGTTCCAGAGTGGCATACAAATGCAATAAATGAAGAAATGACTTCATGTTGGGATATTTTACGCCGCATGGGTGTACAGTGGTGCCTCGCAAGCCGAAAAGAATCCGTTCCGCGAGTCTCTTCGTCTTGCTGTTTTTTCGTCTTGCGAAGCAAGCCCATTAGCGGCTTAGCGGATTAGCGCTATTAGCGGCTTAGCGGATCAGCTGATAAGCGGCTTAGCGGATCAGCTGATAAGCGGCTTAGCGATCAGCTGTTAAGCGGCTTAGCGGATCAGCTGTTAAGCGGCTTAGCGGCTTAGCGGATCAGTTGATAAGTGGCTTAGCGGCTTGGGAAAAAAGGGGGGGAGGGAAAAAAACCCTGCAGGAACTCACAAGACATTTTCGTCTTGCGAAGCAAGCCCATAGGAAATTCGTTTTGCGAAGCACCTCCAAAACGGAAAACCCTTTCGTCTAGCGGGTTTTCCGTCTTGCGAGGCATTCGTCTTGCGGGGCACCACTGTATATTTCAGCGGTTGAACGTACAGGTTTATGGCCATGCTGTAGTGTAGTGCTTATGCGACTGTGAATAAAAGGTGGCTGGGCTCATCGTCTCAGGTTTTGTGGGGGAGAGATGTGACAAAACTGATTTCCAATAAGTGCCCCCCCTTTATTTCCATAACAAGTCCTTGAGTCTGTACTCTGAATAGTGACACCAGGGACCTAGAAGGTGCAGGGCTTGTCAGTCCAACCCCTGCACAATCTCATCAGGGCTGACCTTAAGGCAATTGGAGCAATTGGGCCCCACGTGCTGCTCCTAAGGGGCAATCTAGATGGATTTTATTTATATCTCTAAGACTTTGGCTGTAAACTGGGGCCCTACAAAAAAAAACACCAGGTTGCGCCCCACTGCTTCAAATTGGGCCCCACTGGCTAGCCCTGAGTCTCTTAGTTGCTGGGACTGAGTTGCCCTGCCCTCGCATGAAGTCTTTGGGTTTGAAATTTTGGGAGAGGGGAGACTGCCCGCTGGGGAGCGAGCGGGCGGGCTGCTTAGGCCCCCTAGATTTAGAGGCCCTAAGCTTCAACTTACTTAGCATATACATAGATCCAGCACTGCTCTACTCACAAATGCAACACATGTATAGTTACCAATGTTACTGCTTTCCAAGAGCGCTGAGCTTATAAAAGAGCAGCGATCCAATCTGCTGATGTTGATTCTCTGCTGATGTTGATTCCTTAGTAGCGTACACTTGAAATTTCAGGGCAGCCATGAAGTATTAACACCAATAACTTGTAATGTGAGCTACTGCTCTTACTACTGGCATTATCAAGTGTTGTTCATACTTTCTTACCAGACGCGCTTCATCTTTATTGCCTTTTTGGTGTCTGTTGAAGGCTTTCCTCCTTCAACAAGCCTTCTAAGTGGAGATTTTTATCCCATTCAGTATTTGAACTGATTGAAATGATTTTAGATATGCAATTATTTTTTGTATACCTAGCTGTGTATATGGACAGATAGATGTACATAATAATTGTTTAATAGTGATTATTTATGCATTTTTGTATATGCTTCATAGGAATTGATTAATAAAAGAATTAAATTTAGTAATAAGAATAATGATAATGATAATACTTGCCCAATTCCTCCCTTCTTCTCATTTGCAAACCATAGTTACTCTTTAAACAGGCTCACTATGGTGCAAATCTCATTAAAATATCAATTGTTGTGCTCTTGAGAGTGAAGTAATTTCTTCTTTTCCATGCTGTTCCCCACTACAGCTTCATCTTTCCATCCTGTTTGTCATAATGCCCATTGTTTTTGTGCCACTATATCCTCCCTCTTAAAATTTTTGCTTGGTTGGTTGTGGTGACTTTTGTAATTGCACAGCATTTTATGTGACTATCATAACTCCGACATGCACAATATAATAATAATAATAATAATAATAATAATAATAATAATAATAAAATTATTTATTATTTATACCCCGCCCATCTGGCTGGGCTTCCCCAGCCACTCTGGGTGGCTTCCAAAAAATATTAGAATACTGTAATACATCAAACATTAAAAGCTTCCCTAAACGGGGCTGCCTTCAGATGTCTTCTAAAAGTCTGGTAGTTGTTGTTCTCTTTGACATCTGGTGGGAGGGCGTTCCACAGGGAGGGCGCCTCTACCGAGAAGGCCCTCTGCCTGGTTCCCTGTACTTCCCTGACACAAAGCCATCTATAATACACAATTTCACTTAATAGCTTGGGGCGAGGGACATTGGTGGCTTAAGATGAGTATGAATGGCCACAGTCACAAAGTTCTGTATTTTTTAAAAGAGCTGAACAGCAAAGTGAAACTTTATAGAGATGGAAACACAGCCATAGACCCATAGCGGGCATTGCAGCCTAGTTGCTGCTCCATATATTTATCATGATGTTTAATCTGGCTGTTTGTGGGCTAGTTGACAATGTTGTATGTTAATATTCAAAGCTATCTCCCAAGAGTCTGGATCAAAACTATCATGCTGATGGGTGTATAAATTCTTGCACTGGTTCTCAGCAGGTGTAAGAGCAGTGTGGCTCTCGTCAATTTAAAAGAAGCTAAGTTGGTTTGCAGTATTCACAATTCTAGTCCAGTGTGTATACAATAAAGTACCTATAGTCCATGGGTCATATCAGGAATGTGAAACGGGGAATTGAGAACAGACTGCAGTGGTTTCTCTAAGGCTTAGTCTCAATAAGTTCCTTATGTTCTTCTTGCTTCATGTTTCTTCCTCTTGGCCAGAAAACTTTCTTAGTACAACTCTGTAGGGAAAACATGCTACCCGTTAGATTTATGCCCTTAGAAGTCAATGTGTTAATTTGTGCTGTGCAATGGAAAGGCTGTGTTGCCATATCGTCATTAAATTAAGATGTGCAAGCCAGATGTGGAATCCTGATAGGAAGCTTTATTGCACAGTGGGTCTTGCCTGTTGATTAGTCTTCTAGACACAGCAAGCGGGCCTCTGAGAACTCCTCTGTGTATGAAAGAGGGATCATTTGTGTGTCTTTAAATTATCTCACCTTCAGCGTGTCTGATCTTTACACCATGTGATCCAACAGTACCGCTCAGTGTTTTGAATTAAGGGTTGTCAAAGCCTTTTAAAAGTTACAGGAGAGCAATTCTTATTGGCATCTACTGAAGAAAAGCTTAGGTATTTGCCCTAGTACTGTTATACTGTTATAATATATATCACAACACTTTCCCCTTGCTCCCCCCTATTATCAACGAGATGTCGTCCTTTGTCATTGGAACAAGGAATGATACACCAGGAAAGTTTTGCTTTGATGTATATCTAGGGCAGATTTTAATGCTTCTTTTTCTAGATTTGCTAAGATAATGAGAGTCCAGCTCTTTATCAATAAACCTTCAGTCAGTGAACATGAAGGACTTAGTTTTCAGCACAAGTTTGCTCTACAATAAAGAAGGGACAGATGACAAAGACTACGTAACCGTTTATCTTTCTTATAAATATAAAGAACACACAGCAGCAATGGGTTAATGCAAGAGCATGTTGTTCAGTCCATTATATTGTCATAGCAATATATGTGCATGAGAATTAATTCAAAGGCCTCATCCATGCATCCATATCCGACCTGCAATATTCAGTAATCTCATTTTTGTACTTCTCCTTTGCATCTATTTGGCAATAGGGATGCATCTCAAACTCAAAACTAGTTCCCAATTTTTCAAACCTCAAGTTCAATTCTTCCCATTTCCAGGTCAGCTTGGGCTTTTTTTAAATAAGAATTTCTCATGAAAATTAATCAGCACTTAATGTGAATGTATCCAAATACATATTTTTTTATAAAATTCTGCTTAATAGACACATATTTGCAAAGCAATTTACCCTCATAGAATGCATATTTGCACATTACATTTTGTACATGCATTTCTAGCTACACTTTACACTAGTATATGCATTTTTGTACTTATTATTTGGATGCAGAACTGCATTGCAAAATTCAGAGAAGTGTGACTTTTGAAGGATGGGAGCACTTGAGTCTGCTCATTGCTTCAGAAAGAGTGAGTTCTGTAAATTCACTTTAAATGCAAACTGAATTGAATTTTTCTGATTACTGATGCAGATGCATAAAAATGCAAAAAAAAATTTTAAAATCAATCATAACCAAACTTTTGACTTGGTTTCATAATTTGGCAAACTGCCAATTAGGATCAGTTAATGTCACCACTGCTCTGTACACAAGGTGCCATACACATAAGTGACATTGCTTCTTTCTACTATGGCTTGCCATTTATATTCTTAGTCCAATGGGCATTACAACTAGCTATGCAACAGAGCAGTAATCAGATTGCAACACCACTTTGCCCAATTGCTGTTCAGTGGGCAACGAGGGGAGGGGAGAGGGGACAAAACAACCTACCTCATCATGCACTGAACAGTCAGGCATATGATGGAGTTATCAAATGACCACTTTGTCTCCACGTGGCTATCTCTTGCTCATGCAGGATTCCTCTCAATACATCACATGTTGAAAGTTAGTCTTCATTAACAGTCAGGTGGAAAGGAAGTCAGTAACCACATAAACCTAACTGGATTGTGACTTGGGCTAAATGACAGGGGAAGTCATTTGCTTACATATAGATTCTTGCAAAAACAGTATGCTAAGGGTGGTTAAAATATGCCTTTTTAAAAATAAGTTGCTTTGCTTATTTGATATTTGATGGTGGTGCAGTTGTTGTTGTTAAAATTTATATTCCACCCTTCATCCCAAAGGAGCTCAGGGCAGCAAACAAGATCCACAGTTTAAAATTAAAAACATACTGAAATCAGTTAGTTAAAAACATGAATGAAATCATAGCAGTTATACCAAAAAAAAAAAAAGTATATTAAACTGGGCCTCAAAGTTAGAAAGCTATAAATCAAACAGTTAAGTGTGTGTGATTCTTATAAGACAAGTGTCTAAAGTTAGAGGGGCAGATAAATGCTTTAATTTATATTCTCTTCCTACATCTCTTGCTAACATGATCATCCTGACAGTGTTGGACTTAGAAGACATTGCTATTTTTTAACACTTTATTTGTAATTTTGTTAAATTTTCAGCATTCCTGTTGATACAGTGGATTACATCTCTAGCTTTGAAAGGCCAAGCTGAGCCAGCTAGATTTTCTCTGTGATATGGGTGTGGTCAAATTAATTAGGATATTAAACAGGATGAAGTAAATATGCAAAATGTAACCCCTCCTCTTCCTGGGTTGACAGGCACTTCCAGAAAAAGACGACCAGCTGGAAAATATAATGGCAAATTAAGACATTCCAAATAGCAGAACTTTTTTCCCCTTCCATTTTCTTATTTTCAGAGAAAATAAATAGAAATTATGCCTTCTGTAAAAATGCCCTGTTCCTCTAAGGAAAATACTTCATGGTGGAAATATTTATTTTTGAGACTTAAACCTCCATGCATGTTTTCCCTTTCTGACTTCTTGTTCCTACATCTTAAATGCATCTTATGTGTACACATGTGTAATTGTGTAAAAGAAAAGAAGAGAAGAGGAGGAGGAGGGAGAAGGAAAGAGTGGGTGCGGCATGTATGTGAGATGTGGAGAGAGCAGGTTCTCCTTGGCTTCTGGAGAGCATTAAGATGCATTAGCCAGTTATGTAAGCCAAGTTTCTATCCATCTGTCTCTCCATTCCGCTTTTGCTCCATGCTACTCTTTGGTACAGTGGAGAGAATTCAGGATTTGAACCTCAATGCAAATCCCAGCTGAAGGCTGGTTTTTTCCCTTTACATGGCAAGGAAGGGTTCCAGATATGCACTTAGGAGGTTTTACAGAATGTAGCTATCTCCATTCACCTGTTCTGTAAGCAGTATACATTAACAAGAAGCAGAGATTGCCCAAGAGGCAGATTTAGGCGAGCACAACCAGTTCGGTTGCACTTGGTGCAAAGCCGCAGGGGCGCCACAGGGACCACTGCAACTATGATGCAGATAGGAAAGTGAGAGGTGGGGTGTGCCAAGTTTTCAGGTTGCCACTGAAATCTGGCACTGATTCCCCTCCCGACAACTTTTATTCATGTCCAAAATAAAATGTCGGGTCCAATGCAATAACAGCCTCAATGGACAGGTTATTCTAGTCTGTTATGGCCTCCCTTCAAATAATGTATACTGGGGATCTCAACTTTTCTTCTCCTTCTTAAAGGTAAAGGTAAAGGGACCCCTGACCACTAGGTCCAGTAGTGGCCGACTCTGGGGTTGCGGCGCTCATCTCGCTTTATTGTCCGAGGGAGCCAGCATACAGCTTCCGGATCATGTGGCCAGCATGACTAAGCCACTTCTGGCGAACCAGAGCAGCCCACAGAAACACCGTTTACCTTCCCCGCCGGAGTGGTACCTATTTATCTACTTGCACTTTGATGTGCTTTCGAACTGCTAGGTTGGCAGGAGCAGGGACCGAGCAATGGGAGCTCACCCTGTCGAGGGGATTCGAACCACCGACCTTCTGATCGGCAAGTCCTAGGCTCTGTGGTTTAAAAGCAACCAAACACCCCCACCACCACAATGATGTACGATGAAGTGGTACTGTCTGAGGCAATAGGAGGGGGAAGAGCTGTTACACTCAGGTCCTGCTTAGAGTGTTCCCACAGGCATCTGGTTGGTCACTGTGAAAACAAAATGCTGGACTAGGTGGCCCACTGGCCTGATCCAGCAGACCTCTTCTGTGTTCTTATGTATGGGCTAAAGAACTTTGGAAAGTGGATCCCTCTACTTGGGAGAAAACCCCCCTTGTTTTACAACTTATTACAACATGCTGCTAAAATACTGTTTCATCTTGTAGTGTAGATTGCAACAAAATATGTTTTGAATTTGTCCCCAAATAGCACTCAACCCTCAAGGACCTACCACAGAGGTGGCAGATGCAACTTCTCTTTAAAGTTAGGGCTCTCTCTTCCTTTCCCACAGGATGTGAGTAACTCATGCTGAAATCAAGAGGCAGTTATTCATATCTTGTGGTAAGAGAATATATACCTTCCCATTACACATTCTGGTATCCTGTATCTTAAACAATTCACTCAGCCATCTACTGGGCTTCATTTAAAAACTATTTTTTATGTTTCTGTGTATGTACATATTACATTTGCCCCACTTTTTTTAATGGTGACATGTTTTAGGGGTACAGAGCTTATCCAGGTTTGGTTTCTCTTGAAAGGAGGTCACTGGAGGCTTACTGGCATTTTGTACAGTGGTGTAGTAGAGGAGAAGTGCAGGGAGCCATAAGCTCTAGGACCTTTCTCAGAGCAGCAATGATGATGTCATCAGCCAAACTGCCAAGGTCATGGATGGACCTTTCTTCTGGAAAGTTATTGAGGTGATAATGAGGTATTCAAGATTGTTTGAGACTCATTAGCACAGAGTATGCCAGAGAATGAGAAAATTAATCAGAGACAGATACTTCATTCCTTGGACCTGGATGAGGCATGCCTATGGAAGCTTTCAAGATGAGCTCCTGCAGTTCAATTTTTACCACGTCCACTGGTTTTGTTGTATTTTAGCTTATATGCAAATGTACAGGCTGAGCATTGGTGAGGGCATTCCTACCATTCCAACAGCCAGCCAGAATATAATAATAATAACCATAATAATCATAATAATTTATTATTTGTACCCTGCCCATCTGGCTAGGTTTCCGCAGCCACTCTGGGAGGCTTCCACAAAGACCAAAAATACACTAAAATGTCACACATTAAAAAATTTCCCTAAACAGGGCTGCCTTAAGATGTCTTCTGAATGTCAGGTAGTTGTTT